TATTACACATTCTCCATCCATAGATCGAACCATCCATTGATCAATTAAAAAAGAAAAAAGAGCCACATGGATGACACTGACAAAGGATCTACAATCTGAGGTACAGGATCTCAGGATAAATCCTGAAGGGATTTCACTGACCTTATCAGACCCAAAAGCTACAACTCTTGTTGCATAGATCTTGCTTTACCTTGGTCTTAACCATCCAGCAGAAAAGTATGAAAACTAAGTATAAGAAGTAAAGCCATGGTGTTATGTTGAGCTGTGGGGGACTCAGGTCAACAATTTCTGACATTGCCAGTTAAGTGGAAGACCCAATACTATTAAGGACTACTGGACTCTTAGAATATTTTGCTGAGTTAACATGCCTATAATATTCAAATGACGGAACTAAACAAAAAAGGGGATACAGATGAATGTCCATTTTGTATCTGTGTACTCAAAATAGGATAGATATATAGTTACATAGTCTTAATGAACAGAGGGATTTGTTCTAATAGTGTTTGTAAATAGGATATCATGTCCACATCTTGTACAGCAAATAACCACTAGGAAGAAAGTATGCAATATGCTAATTATTGAAACTGTCCTACCAATTTGATTTGAAACTGTCTCATTGCTATTTGTCTCTCAAAATTATGGAAAAAGAAAAAGAAAAGGAAAACGTTCTTTGATCACCAGGCGTGACATAGCAGCAAGTCAGCAACTGTCTCTTGCGAATAGGGCAGGAAAATAAAATTCCTTTGTACTTAAAAAAAAAAAAAAAAAAAGAAAAAGAACAATGGTGTCTGTATCGAACAGACACGGATTTACGTCTGATATCGTTCCTAAACCATGCAGTACAACAAGCTATTCCCGTAGCATTTACACTGTAGTAGGCGTGATACATAATCTGGAGATGCTTTACAGTGGGGAAGGGGGGACACCATGCCCAGTGGCAGAGCACGGGCCTCCCACGGGGGCAGCGTGGCGCCCCGGCCGGCAGAGGAGAGCGCGTACGAGATTGTGTGTGAGGTCTTGCGCGGATGTGACACTGCTCTCCGAGAGAGCCGCGAGCCCCCTGGGTCGGGGTGGTGGTTCTGAACCTCTCCCGTGCTCTCACTAGGGGACAGCTCTGTTTTATCCCTTTCCATATGCATTGCGTTTCATTTTGATGTTTCCTGGGCAGTGTGGAAGCTTTTCAATTTGATGCGATGCCCCTTGTTAGTTTTTGCTTTTGTTACCAGTGCTTTGGATATGTAAAAAAAAAAAAAAAAAAAAAAAAAAAAAAAAAGGCCACAACCAGTATCAAGAGATTTCAACCTGTTTTCTTAGAGCAGGTTTTAGTAAGAGGAAGGTAGTAGAGGAAATGCTGAGAGATGGCCAGACTCTTAAACTACCCAAGACTGTATAAAATAGCACTTCGTGTGAAACGAGAACCACCTGGGGCAGCTTGTGATACGCTCTAGGATGGACGTGGATCACATATTTCCCAATATTCAAGCATCATCCTTCCTGCATTCGTGAGAAGTCTGACATTTCTCACAGGATTAAGTAGCATTGTTGGGCATAGAATGAAGTGTGGCACCTGCTAAGCTGCTCTTAGAGGTGAATCACTTATACTTACTACTTTTAACCAGAAAATATCTATGGCAGAACAAATGCAAAAGAGGGGCCCAGGAGATGGCTCAGTAGAATAAGTGCTTGCCTGGCAAGCACAAGGGTGTGAGTTCCATCCCCGGTTCTGAAAAAAAAAAGATAACTGCAAAGAGAAGGAGAGCGGTGCGCTGCTGTTTTCCTGAGCAGAGATGAGTGTTCTGTATAACCAGTGATGCTTTAGTGATGCTTTAGAGCCTCTCATTTGCCTGGACGCTGGCCAAGTATTTACAAAGTTATTGGAAGATTCATGGAAGTAACACATTTTAATAATAATTCACTAAGAATATTAAGACCGCCCTTCTTTCAGTGGCAGGTGGGTTTGGGGAGGAGCAGACATGGCCATCTTTGGATCCAGTTAAGGAGAATTTGAGTTGGACACACATTTGGGGTAGAGCAATATGTTCTCGTTCACAGTGTGGAGTTAGTTACTGCTAGCTCTCCCACGTAGCATCGCTCCCTGGAATATTCTCGCAAACGGCTGTGCCAGCCCGTGTGGTTTAGACCCTACAAAACGTGGGTCTGCCCTCTCACGGAGCATATCTCTCGGACCTTTGGAGTGTGTGGAAACCTGTGAGCACCCCACACGGCATCACAAGTAGCACAGCACTCACAGCGTCCTTCGGCTCTTTCCCTAGAGGTGCTTCCCCAGTCGCTACCAACAGCAGAGACCGATTTTGAGACAAGTTTTGGCCAAATCCTATATTACTAGAATTGCACGGCGCTTATAGTATATTTTTTTGATAAGAAAAAATGCATCCTTTACATTTTCCTGTCAACTGCATATCTTCTTTGCTTTCACAGCTATATCTGTAGAATAGAAAGTGGGTGTGTTAAAACTTGGCCCCTATCCTGTATAAACTCCTATAAATTTAACCATTCTCATTTGTTTTTCATTACAAAGTTGTTCTTTCAGTCTAGTGTATTTCTTTTCAAAACATATTTTTTTTTTGAACCAGCACTGTGAGGTTTATTATTTATACTCTTTACAAAGTTAGTATCAGGAGACACAGGGTTGTCTAGCAACTAATAACTGGAATTGTCCCAGGCAGGATGCTTTTCTCAGGATCGAGGTAGCTTGATTGCTTTAGGTCCTTTCGCCTTGTCTTGCCCCCACACATATGACCAAATTCCAGCTTCCCCTGCTCCCTACAGTATTATTTTACGAAGGGTTTTTTACTAGTACAGATGTGCTCGTGCACATCTGTAATACCAGCTACCCAGAAAGCAAAGGCAGGAGAATCACAAATTGAATTGAGGCCAGCCTGGACAATTTAGCTAGACTCTGTCTCAAAATAAAAAATAGAAAAGGATGGAGATATATCTTAGTGTTCCCTGGATCCAATCCCTACTTCTTAAAATCAAAACATATTTTTAATGAAACAAAAACTATCATAAAAAAGCAAATACTGCTATGGTTACTCAAATACTATTAAATTTGCTGTAAATTCTATGTGCACGTTTGCATACTATCCTGTGCATGTTGTCTTAAAACATTAGAAACATTTTTGGGAAAAGTGAAGTCATCTCCACACTGGGTGTAAGTTTTCTTTTTCGCTCACTAGCATATCTTGCATATCTTTATTCATAGGAATGTTTCCTTGGGCTGATAACTACCATTAGCTTAGTCAACAAATTCCTCATGTTTGAGTTTTTAGCATTTTGATTTTTTTTTTTTTTTTTTACTATAGCAAATGATGCCTTGATGAGCATTTTGTTCCTGTATCTTTTCATTTTTTTGGAGAATTTTTCCTGTAATGTAACCTTCTAGCCATGGGATTAAAATGGGGTGTGTAAAGAGGTTTGGACACTGCCCTCTACATCACTGTGCCACTCGGTAGATAATTCTCTCTGAGAACACAGTTCTCTACACTTTCGTCCGTGCTCTATTATCAATCACTTTTATTTTTACCAGTCTGAAAATGGCAACTAAGAGATCCTTAACTTTTGTTTCTTTGACAGTGAGGTTGAGCTTCTCTTTCTCCTATCATTGATTATTCTACTTTTTTAAATTTGCCCATTTTAAAAATGATGTATTTTGGAGCCAGTGGCATAAGCACCTGCGTGGCAAGCACAAAGTCCTGAGTTCAATCCCTGATATCCCTCCCCTGCTGAAGAAAAAGGTTGGATTTCTTATTTTTCTTATTGTCTTAAAGAAATTGAGATTACTTAGGTTATTACCTCTGTATCCTAACTTGTTTGCAAAGGGCATTTACAATTGAATTTTAAACTATTAAATCCTGTAGTGACAATCTCTGCAATTATAGAGTCAATAACACAGCACCCAGCTTCCTAATAACAATGAATGGAAGGGGCCAGGGAGATGGCTCAGTGGAATAAGCGCTTCCCTGGCAAGCACAAGGGTGTGAGTTCAATTCCCGGTTCTGGAAAAAAAAAGAATGGAGATATTTCACACATTGAAAAAATTAAACTATGAGGGCCAGAGATATAGCTCAGCAGCATAAGTGCCTTCTTGGTAAGTGCAAGGTCCTGAGTTCAATCCCTGGTACCACAGGAAAAAAAAATCAGATTTTAAAAAATTAAATTATGGACATTGGAAGGTAAATTTGTTCTTTATTAGGAGAGAAATGATCAGTCTTCCATAAGCCAAGGAAGGTGCCTACATCTGAAGCCAAGGTCCCTCTGCTAGGTTCACAGACAGCTCTGAGATTAGAAGTTTGCCCTTGCTGTGATGTGAAGACTGATTTTACTTTTCATGATCTTAGTGCTTCGTACCAGGCACTACCTGGACACTGATAACCAGAAAAGCTAGACATAATTTCATGGGAAGTTGGTGTTTTTGAAGTACTTACAACTTTAGCAGTTAGAGCAAATCATGTGGGATATATTAAAGGTTTTATATATTTTTTTAACTTACATGGGTTAGTACTTACTTGCTCATAATTTGGATACATGTTGAGTCTAATAAAATATATTTTAAATATATATACTCTTCACTTACTATTAGGAAAATCTCTTGATCAGTGGGCTGCAAATTGATAGCCCCCTGGGTGTATCTGTTCCCAATCTATTGCCCTGATAATTGAAGAACCAATTTGAACTAGATATTAATGCTTAAAATGGAGACATCTGTCATAAAAAGACAACTTTTTCACAATAATTGACTAAATTCATGTTAGTAACGACTTGTAAGTGGTGTTTTCAGATAGGGCCAGTAGTCTCCCATTTGCCTTAGTTCTTGTTTTTTATTATCTGTTCCACTTAGATTCACTTTATTTGTTTGTGTGCATTATGAGGATGGCTCTTATTTTCTTTGTCTTTTTTGACACAGGGTTTCAGGCTGGCCTTGAACTCACTGTGAAGCCCAGGCTGGCCTCAAATTCACAGCAGTCCTCCCACCTCAGCCTCCAAGTGCTGTACTGCAGGCATGTACCATCAGGCCCAGTTTGGATGGCTCTTCCTTTAATTTGCAGGCAAAAGAATATTAAAAGGTATGTATATGAATAAATTCCTTAATTTGTTCAGTATTTTGAAGATGTCATAAAGGTTCTTGCTTTATTGTTTTTTCCAGGTACATTCATCTTCTTAGATGGTGGTGAGAAACTGAGACACTGGAGGTAGAAATATGCTAGAAACAGTAACTTTCTTCTTCCCAACAAACCATTCCATTTTCTGGTTTAAAAAAAAGAGAGAGAGAGAGAGAGATCTGGAAGGTGTTACACTTCCTGTAGTTCGACTATTTTACGCTGTAATTTCTTGATGTCCTTTTGCACTTTATATTTCTCTAGATCCATTTTTGTTTTCTGTATTTGTCGGAGGGAGTTGAGAGAGTCGTGAACGGATTGGAACCCTGGGAGAGGAAACAAGAATAGAAATATTAAATTAAACGATGCCTTGAAATATTTTTTTAAAAATTTGCAGATGAATAGTGCTGCTATGACTGATTATTTAATTCAAAGCACATTAAATTCCATTAAGAGCCATGTGATGGCACATGGCTGTAATCCCAGCACCCGGGAGGCTGAGGCAGGAGGATTGCTGTGAGTTTAAAGCAAGCCTGGGCTACATAGTGATTTCAAAGGTAGACTGAACCACATAGTAAGACCCTGTCTCAAAACTAACTAACTAAATAAAGAAATAAAGTGAAGAACCATCTAAAAACATACAGAACTGAACATGGTGGTGCTTGCTTGTAATCCCAGCATTTTGGGAGACTGAGGCAGGAGAGTTGCAAATTTGAGCCCCTCCTATGCAACTAAGTGATTTAGGGAGACACTGTTTAAAAATAAAAAATATCAAAAAATGGCTGGGGATATAACTCAGTGTGAAGGCCCTGCGTTCAATTCTCAGTGCCCCCAAATAAGTGAATTGAATGAATAAATGTAAAATTGTACATCTGCTTATATGTGATGAAGGTGTAGTAGCCACGGTGTTTTAACTTGGGTCTGGTTTTATTATGAAAATTTATTTTCCTTCACTTCATCCTAAATATACTATATAATGAAATAATTCTATATTTAAAATATTTTCTTTTCTGCATGCTTAAACGAGAGAGTTTCACTATCTTTTTAAAAATTCTTATTGCCACATGGAACACAAAGATCACAATAAGATTACAAAACTTCTCTGAAGGGCTGGGGAGACAGCTCAGTGGCATGAGCGCCTGCCTGGCAAGCGCGGAGTCCCACATTTGATTCCCAGTACCACAAAAGGAAAGAACAAAACGGAGCAAAACTTCTCAAAGGAACCTTTTTAGGCCCTGAAGAATGGCGCCTGCTGCCACCTCTCTCAGGCACTTTGTATCTGTCTTATACTGACCTCAAGCTTCTTGGGACGACCATTTCTTACTCACTAAGGCCTTTCACATATGGCTTCCTGACACGTTTTTGCTATAAGGCATAAAAAGGCATAAAGGCGCCAACCATTAATTTGCAGCCCCCCCCCCCAAGGTAAAACTCCTACTTAGTAAAATGGAGAAACATAGATTGAAAATTTGTCTTTGCCTCTTGAATCTGAGTTAAATAAAACATCAAGCAGAAGATCAAGCCTTTCCTAGAAGGACCGGCTATATTAGGAACAAGATTCCTGGCCAGGTAACTCATTATTTTACTTGGTGATAGGAACTGAGGGTTGTGAAGGAAGCGAGTTTTATTTATCTGCAAGGAACATCAGGTAGGATGATATCATAGTGTCTTCCCAAGGCATTGCCAACGTATATCTTTAGGGGACCAACAGTTTGTGGAATTTACTCATGAATTTTTCAGAGATGCAGAGGACAGAAAAAGGGTTAGGACTGTCTAATAGAGGAGGTCCTCTATTCCCGACAATTCCCTGAGCACTGTGACCTCAGGCAGACGGCTTCTCCACAGCACCTTCGGCATGTCCTTCCCTTTGACAAATTAGATGAGCCTTTCAAATTAATACTCTTTGATGTCAGCTCAGCTTGACACTGCTGCTATTAGCTTCTTAAGAAGAAAAGCGGTTATTGCACTGGACTTTGCTAATTTATCTCTCTTCCTTATTTCTAAAGGTCAAGTTTCCAGTCTGACATCTGTCTAGACTCATTACCTGTAGTTCCATGAGAGGGGCATTTCACAACATACCCCAAATTTCATAATGTAATTTCATAACGTACCCCAAAGTCAACTCTTGGTGATCTCTAGGACTTTGCGTGTTGAACAATTCTATGATTCAGTGAATTTTGAGATTAAAAAAGTTTCCCAGCAGGGGCAATTCATGACATTGCCCAGAGTGAATGAAGGAATCTGGCTTCCCTACATCCCCTCCAGGGGTGTGTTGACAACCTACAGGAGATTAGGGAAGCCAGGGGACATACATAATGATGCCACAGGGGCTGGGGAGATAGCTTGGGGCCCTGGAGATAGCTCAGTAGAATAAGTGCTTGCCTGGCAAGTGCAAGGGCCTGAGTTCAATCCCTGGTTATGAAAAAAAAAAGCCATAATGATGTCATGACAAGATGTATTCTTCAAAATAGAAACTTCTGAGGAATCAGATCAGAAAACACCGATGTTCTTTAATAAAAAGTAACCACTTACCTGACTGATACTCAGTCTGCATTTTTTCTAGTTCACTCCAGAGCTGCTTTTCCATATGGTTCATTTTCTTGGACAATTTATGTTCTATATGCTTGACTTTGTTTAGTTCTGCTTCTTGTTTCTGTGAATTGATGAAATTCTCTAATTTGCTTGAAAGCTCCAGCATTTTTCCTTCTGTTTTGTTTGTTGACTTTTCCTAGGAAAGAAATCATGTGATAAAACTCTGTAAAGAAGAAAACTTAGGTGAATTTGTATTTTAGTTGGGAGAAAATGTTCTTAGTGTGTTTGCTACTCCATGTAAAGTCTGAAAATTCAAAGCCAGATCCCTTGTACCCAAACACTGTTCACAGGGGAAGAATTCTTTCCTTCCACCTTGCTTGTCTGTAGTTTGTAAAACTAAACATTTCTACATGTTATGGAAGGAAAGGACTGTGGGCCTGCTGAGATGCTTTGGGAGTTCGCAGCTGTCGCCTCATGTATAAAGAAGCGTAGCAAAGGAAGATGTCTTAGCCCCTTTCCCTGTGTTCCAGGGATCCGCCTCTAAGTGTTACAAGTTCTCACTTCCTAGAGCCTTCTAGGTCCAGGTGGACACAGTCTGCTAGAAGAGCGACTGACTCTGCAAGCCAGCTATGGATCATATTCTTCTCCAGAAATTCTGACATAATTGACTCATGACAGAGCTCAGGCGTTCACATAGTTTGGAGCTCTCCAGGGGATACTGCTAGGCAGCAGTGTGGAGAGGCAGAGGCAGACTTAGGCTAGGAATTCAGGAGCAGAAGCCAGCCATGACTGGCACAGCCCCTTTGCTTCTCCTCTCTGGCCCTTCACGCTTCAGAACAGTAGTTTTCAGTCTCCTGGCCTTGCTAGGGGCTTCAGCCTTCAAGGTGACCCCTTAAAGCTGATAGAGGAACTTCCCTAATCTGGGGTGAAGAACTAGCGAGCTCACTTGCCTGCTGCAGATCTGACTGCACAGAAATTCTTGGCTGTCTTGTTTGTCTCCAGTTCTTGGTTCCTACACCACCCAGTTATTTGCAAACTCAGGTGGGGGCTGGTGACATAAACAAACTTGCTGAAGTTCCTATATCCAAGTTCTCAAAACATATTTGAATCTCCAGGTAGCCGGTAGCCATTGGTCACAGAGATGGCATGGGGTGCCCTCCCCGTTGGGCATAAGACAAGAGTACATGAGATAAGTGTATTTCTCAGTGCTGTAGCGGCCTCGCCCCAAAGTCTGGCGCTTTCTTTACATGATCTATCTGGAAAACTTGTGATCTACTAGCAGATCTCCAGAGAGATTAAATTCCTTGCTTGGGCAGAAGTTTCTAAGCCTTTCTCATGCCTCAGTGTCACCCAGGGGGCTGGTCTAGAAGTACACAGTTTCAGTGGAGGTCCCCAGAAAGCTGGCTCCCTAGATCTAGGGTAAGAACCTGTATTTTTCAAATGCCTCTTCAGGCTGTTTTGGTAAAAGGCGAGAAGACACAGGCAGGGTTGCAGAGTTGGGAAGTGGCAAGCAGGGCCAGAAGACAGGTGGCTGGATTGCTGTGTCAGTGCTAAAATATTAAGTCATAATGCAGCGAAGCTTCCTGTAAATATTGGAGCGAGACCTACCTGGCCTTGTCTCACAGTTAACATCCACACAGCGACCATGCAGCTGCACTTTGTGAAATAACAGAGCTCCTTACCAGCTTCTCCTGCAGGACCTTCAGACCTTCATTTATGTGGGCCAGGAGGTCTTGTCTGTGTTTGATAAACTGGCTTTCAGTCCATTTTTGATTATTCTCAACTTCTTCATAAAAATTATTTGACAGAGAGTTAAATCTAAGGAAAGATATTTTAATCTGTTTTAATAAGTGCATTTTAAACAAAAGGAAAATTTAGTGTTCAAAAGTCCACAGGAAGAAAAATTTAGTGTTTACAAAGTCCTTCAGGGCCATGGAGATGGCTCAGTAAAATAAGCCCTTGCTTAGCAAGTGCAAGGGCCTATGTTTAATCCCGTTCTGCCAAAAAACTATGGATGTACCTGCCAAAGGGCCTATGGGGTAAGGTGGGGAAGAAAGGAAATGACCCTTTGTCCTAGGCTTGGGTCTTGGCTTTGTTGGAGGCTTGAGTTCAGGCCAGCTGCCCTCCATGGCTGTCTGTGTACCCTAAAATACACAGTCACAGGTGCACTTTGGCTGGCGGCTAGCAGGCCACACGGCAATGCATGTGCCATCCGTGCAGAATTCCTCTCAGGTTGTGGTGCTCCCGCTGTGTGGCGCAGACACAGAGCAGTCATGCCCACTAAGGAGTATTCCGCTAGAGCAGAGGGTGCCAAATTGCTCTCTGTAAGAAGCCAGCTCGTAAGTGCATTAGGCTTTGTGGGCCTCGTGGTCTTCATGGGAACCTCGCACTGTTGCACTGTGGCAGAGAGCAGACAGTCACAGACACATGTGGCCGCATTTTGCTCACTATGTACACTGTGTATGCATGGAACTTTGCATTTCAGAGAACATTTACGCATCAGGCAATCCAGCATTTTTCATAAAAGCCTATTTGAAAGTGTAAAAACCACCCGTGGCCACAGTAGGCTTGGCTCTCAGTGACAGTGTGCAGCACCCTGCCCTTCCTGTGCCAGTGTGCAGGTGGGAGGGGGACCAGGGCCCAGAGGACCTGCATTGTCCAGAAGAGGCAGAGGCAGTGGGTGGGAGCAGAGCACCCAGAAGGACATGGGCAATGTCTTGTTCGAGGGGGACATCAGGTTATCACTGTCTTGGGTGAAATCTTCACTGAAGTCCCCATCACCACCAGTGGATCTTGAGAGTAAATGTTTTTGGTAATGGTAGGGTGTGAATGTGCTTACAAAGATGTTGAATTCCTCGTGTGGAATAAAATGTAGACTAGAGGTGCAGGAGGGGACTGCTGGTGTCAAGATGAAGTGCTACTGAATAACAGAAAGGATTTCTGAAAGGAAGAGTAGACGCTATAGAGGCTAATGGGGTTAGAAACATGCCATCCATCTAACGTCCCTGTAGAGTGGCTGGGGACAGGAAGGGGAATATTTATCTGAAACTACTGACAGATACAAGGATGCAGACTCAGGATTCAGATTGGCAGGGAAAATAGGTGGTTGTTATTGAAAGCATTCATATTGTGTTACAATGTGAGGCATTTACAATTGACAATTGTCCTGATGTTTTTAGGCTAAAATATATACAGAGAATTTTTAGACAGTGCTGTTATCATTAGGAATAGCTGAAGACAGGGTGGCCGTGTACTGTGTACACTTGCCTCTCTGGAAAAGGTGTTTGGTCTTGCAGTAAGTCAAGTGCCATATGATCATCAGCATGTTTATTTCTACTGGAGGCAAGTTTTGCCCTCCCTGAAGACACCCCGTAATGTATGGAGAGTGTGAGTTGTCTGGGGACATGCGCCTGGCTTCCAAAGTGGGAAGATACAAAGGATGGTTCTACCCATCTCACAATGCAAAGAACAGTTCCACAAGAAACAATTCTCCAGCTACAGCCGCTGTGACACTGTACCAACTGTTACTCTGACACTTGGGAGGCTGAGGCAGGAGAACCACAGGGCTGAGCCCAGCCTGGGTACATTAGTGACACTCTGTCTCAAAATAAAAAAGGCAGCGGTTAGAGCTCAGGGAGATGGCCCTGGTTCAATCCCCAATACCATTTTATTATGAGACAGGGTCTTGCTATATCTTTTAGGCTGGCCTCCAACACGGGAGTGATCCTCCTGCCTCAGCCTCTCAAGTGCTGGCATGACAGTGTACAGCACCAGGCCAGCTCCAGTGCCATTTTTAGTACACATGCCGCTGCAGCGAGCATCCAGTCCGAAGATCAATATGCTGAAATTGAGAAATCCTGATTTAGATGAGGAAAGCAAAGCATGGGAAAGGTCATTTGTGTTCCCTAGTCATATACTGGAAGATCAGCTACATCGTGATCTTGTCCCCTCTGAATCCTCACATTATTTTGGACAAGAGGGATGTTGGCAGCACAGAAAGCATATTTTGATTGTGACAGGTGCCTCAACATTGAAGACGACGAAGCTGGCTCCTGTGTCAGCTCTTGCTCCAGGCCCGAGTCGCATTCACCCGGCAGCGGGGCCAACAGCCACTGCATGGGCTGCTCCCGCTGAGCGCGCGGCTCCCGCAGCCCTGGCTTGTGCTCGCTGAGTCTTCTGCAGCGTGGCCGCCGCCGCCGCGGGCCTCCCTTCATATTCATTCGTATTTCCGCTCAAACACCACCTGGCCCAGGGACCTCTTTCTGACCACCCCGAAAAGGCCCCTTTCTCCTCATGGGTCTCCCTTTAGTGCCTTATTTTATTTTCTTCAAAGCGTTCACCAGCCTCTGACATACGCTAAGTTGTGCGCTATCTCCACCACAACCGAAGCTCTCTGAAAGCAGGGTTTTCTTGCCTGGTGCTGCAGTGTAGTAAGCGCTCCGTTAATAAGTATTTAGGAAGGCAATAGATGGGTCATTTCTTCAGATGCCTTTAGTTAAGGCCGTTCAAAATAGAAAATAAGCTTGTCAAGCCATTTAGAAACACACTCTGCTTTGATTTTCATCTTCCTTCTCTCACACAGAGTGGACGTTTTAATTAATACTCATGATTAAGGGGGACAGTCCCAGACAAGCAGGAGAAAGCCTTACAGTGAGAATCCAGCTTTGCTGCGGCCTTCTGCTGTATAATAAATGTTGACTATTTGCTCTCTTATTCTTCAACAGCAGCAACAAGCTTCTGAACACCAAGGAGGAACCACTACAGGTACCTAAGTAACATCTCGGGAAAAGCAAATCAATAATGGAAATTCTGAAATAAAAGCCATAAAAATGAATTTATCAGCCTTTTATTATAAGGCTGGCCTGAAATTAGAGGCCCACTTTTCTGTAAACAATCAGAAGTGAGACTCTGTTGGTAATTGATTAAAATATGAAAGAATTATACAAATATTTGTCTAGAAAGATAAAATAGAGATTTGTATAAGTATTTGCTTATTTTTTTTCCTAGCAAAATGGACATGATTTACTCTAAGTCTATTAACTGTAGAACTTGCAGCTAAAACAGGATGAATTTGTCTTAAACGACATAATTTGTTGTCGAATCTCTACTCCACTGAATGGAGGAGTATTTCTATTAAAGACAAATGGTAGATAGAGGGGAAGAGAGATGGCTTTTTCCTTCAGTTTTCTCAAAACACAAAATCAGACTTTTAAATTATGGCCAGAGGGGCTGGGGAGATAGCTCAGTAGAATAAGTGCTTGCCTGGCAAGCACAAGGGCCTGAGTTCGATCCCCAGTTCTACAAAAAAAAAAAAAAAAAAAAATTATGGCCAGAGGCCCTATAGGATGATGTAGGCTATTTATTTATTTATTTATTTAGTGCAGTGTCTTGCTACAAGCTCAAACTCTTAGTGATCCTTCTATCTCAGTCCCCCACTCACCCCGCTGCACTGGGATTACAGGTGTGCTCCATCATGCCCAGCTTCAGTGGCCGGCTTGGTGAAGGGCCAGCATGACAAGTGGTACCAGGGATCCAACCTGGGTCCTTACTCTTGTCAGGCAAGCACTTAGACCACCGAGCTATCTCATCAGCCCCTTTCTTTTTATTTTTTAATTTTTATATCAACAGAATCAAGCTCAAATCCCACTGAGGGCAGTTTTAAGGAAAGGAATTACAGGAGCAAAAGGAAAATTTAATCAGAAACTATGGATGCAGTGGATCCCAGGACAGAGAATGGGATGTGGGCTAAGTTCGAAGGCAGAGGGAACATTGTGGTGGTGGTGACACCCAGGGAGGGCCTAGCTCCAGTCTCAGCCAGATCAGTGTCCACTTATGTTCCCATCTGGGTCCTGCATTCAACAGACTTTGGAATGAAATTGTGAAAAATTAAAAGTTTGAATTCTTGGATGTGGTCACTGCTAGCAGGCTCTTAAGAGTTTAGATAGTGGCTTTGAGAAGCACATGTGAGAAAACTATTTAGGGACCTCTAATTACATGATATTTTCATTTGTTTGTAATTACACTTAAAAATGATAAATCATTTACTATCTTTGGTGTTGAATCTAAGATTTTAAGTTTCATATCAGTAGCAAGAAATTAATTATAAGACACAATGTTCTACTAAGTTTATGGCTATAGATAGAGCCCTTTTAAGCTAATTTCTTATTAATGTTCTATGACAAAACAAAACTTACATTTTGTAGGTGCCCAAAAAGTCACCATTCCTTATATCAGTTTCTATTTAAGGGTACAACTATGAATGAGACAAAGTCCTGCTTCAGATCTGATTAGTGAAACTAGTTACAAAGCAGTTCTAACTCCACCCTCACAGGAAGACTTATTTCTTGTTCATTCCAAGTTAAGCATAAACATAAATCCCAATACCATCCTAGTCTATTTCCTGGCCACCCAAGCAAATATAATCTTTCCCTTCTCTAAATTTCTACAGCACAATTTACTTATTAATACATTGGTTCCTATAATAGAGGCTTTATGGACTGATAAAAGCAAGTTTTGGAG